TACAAATCATGTGATTAATATCCATGTGTTATTATTCTTAGTGGGCAGCACTCATTGACCAGGAAAAGGAGATTAAAAGGCTGGGATTTTGGCTTAGTATGGTTCATTAATTCCTGCCATGTGAGAAGGAAATCAAGGAAAATTGTAACTTTGACAATTAAGGATAATGTGACAAAGTTTGCACTATTCAATCACTGATTTTGGTTCCTTGATGTTTTTATCTTTATCCTTGGTAAATGGAGTTGTTTTTATGGATATTTGGCATGGGAAATTCGGCCATATGCTGAAGGATATGCATGGGATTGGGTTTTGAACAACAGGACAAAATCAGCACTATTCAATCAAGGAAAACTTTTTCCTGATTTTGTTTTTGTTTTGTGGAACATAATGTGGCCTGATTTTTGGGTAAAAGAGTTGGGAAATTCGTGGGTTTGAAGTGGGGAATTGAAAGGGAGGTTTTATTTTAATTAAAAGGAACAACAGAAGTAGAAATAATACACAAGGCTTGTCTTTCTGACCTCATTCTCGTTCAGGGCTAAAAAGGAGAGAAAGGACTTTATTTTGTTTATTAAATGGAAATAAAAGACTTTGGATATTTGGGAAGGATATGGAAAGGCTTGATATCAAGAAGAGCTTTGGAGGAGCAGGGTTATGGTTTGGGTTTTAGGGTACGAAAGGTTAATGAGTTCAGCCCAAAAAGGATCATAACACTTAGATATTAACCCTTTGATTTGTTTTATGGTTTGTGGTGTAACCTCCGTGCTTGTAGGAGCATCCCGGGGTACATCATGCCCTCCCTAACAAGCCCGCATACTGTATGAACCCCGAGGAAACCAAATACATACAACGACAAGTGGATGAGTTGCTTGCCAAAGGATTCATTAGAGAGAGCTTAAGCCCATGCGCTTTCCCGGCCCTCTTGGTGCCTAAGAAAAATGGCACTTGGAGAATGTGTTGTGATAGCCGCTCGATAAACAAGATCACCCTCAAGTATAGGTATCTGATACCTAGGCTTGAAGATATGTTGGACGAGCTCTATGGATCCAAAATCTTTTCGAAGATTGATCTTCAAAGTGGATATCATCATATCCGCATATATGAAGGTGATGAATGGAAGACGGCATTTAAAATGAAGTTTGGGTTATACGAATGGCTAGTCATGCCGTTTGGACTAACCAACGCACCAAGCACGTTCATGAGACTCATGAACCAAGTGTTGAAGCCTTTCATCAGTTATTTTGTCGTAGTTTATTTCGACGACATTTCGATCTATGGCCAAAGTGAAGAAGACCATGTTAATCACCTTTCCTTGGTGATTAAAAAGTTAGATGATGAGAAGCTATATGGGAATCTTGAGAAAAGTCAATTCTTCTCTCAAGAGACGGAGTTCTTGGGATACTTTATCTCAGGCGAAGGCATTAAAGTGGACGACAAGAAGACACAAGCAATAAGAGATTGGCCCATTCCCACGTCCTTACAGCAAGTACAAAGCTTCCATGGTTTGGCTTCATTTTACCGACGATTTGTGAAGGATTTTAGTACTCTCACGGCACCACTCACGGATTTGACCAAAAGTCCGAAGTTCGAATGGAACCAAAGAGCACATAAAGCTTTTGAGGAAATTAAGGAACGCTTGACACACGCTCATGTGTAAGCATTGCCTAGCTGTCTTTTGAACTAGGTTAGTTCGAGCCTCGCGTCTTGGGCCGGCCCAGATCCAAGCCCTCACCGCATGCTTGACCCGGTGTCTTCTGGATAATGTGTTCGAGCCGCCCGCTGGATATCGGCCCATCACAAGCCCCCCAACTCCTCATTCCTCAGACGGGCCACGTTGAGGGATGGGGAGTTTACGAAGTCCACGTGGGCGCTCCACCATGGATTCAGGCCATTCCTTGGGTTTCGCGTGACGTTTGGCACGATCACCACTAAAAGCAATTATGTCCTGCTGTTAATACTTCCCATCTTTTGATAAAACTTCCGTTGGATGCCATTCTTCCCTACCTGCCACATTTGCCTCTTCAATTGCTCTTCCGTCGTTACCCGAACCGTTTTCCTTCCATTCTAGGTCACTTCCCCTCTCACCATCATGATTGTCTCTGATTTTGACTCAGCTTCTTTGTCGTCCAATTCTCGCCAAGCCGGGCACTCGGCCTCTTGCCATGACCAGGGTCAGACCAATTCCTCTCAGCCATCACTGGCGGCCATGCCCGGCCAGAAGTTGCGCCGGTTGAGGAAACAATTCCCCCCCCCCCTCAACCCCAGCACTGAAGGGCAAGAGGGTTAGACTAGATGAGAACATCATGGCGTTGTGCCATTGTCGAATTACTAACCGTGTGTTCGCCGACGCCATTGACATGGTTGGGCCCTTCATCGAGGACCTACGGCCCACCAGCACCCGGACCGCCCTGGATGCCCCTTCAGGGTTCTTTACCGTGCATCTGGATTCTTTGAAGAAAGGGCTACGATTCCCTCTTCACTCGTTGTTGATTGAGTTCCTCAACGAGGTGGATCTCCTTCCTTGTCAACTGGTCCCCAATTCTCACTGGTACATCGCCAGTTACCTGATCAGGTGCAAGAAAATAGGAGTAAAGCCTACCCTAGACCATTTCCCGTTTACCTTCAAACTGACCAAAGGTCATGGGGATTGGGCGTCCTATGCTAGTCTTTCCCAACGGTCCAGCAAACGCTTCACTAGCGACAAGAAAGGATCTGATCCAGCAGCTGGAGGCCGAGAGGAACGACCAGGCCCGTTGCCTGGAGGAGGCATTTGAGTTTTTCAAGTCTTCCCCCGAGTTCACCGAGGTCTCTATGGAGCGGATGGACAAGTTGGTGGTCGAGTGGCTCAAGACCAGGCCCGGAGCTCAATGGATGGCCGGGGAATCAGAGACTCCTCCGAGCCCAGCTGGTTTTCCGCGACAAGCTAGCTCGGCTTCCCAAAGGAATCTCCCTCCCCGATCTTGGTCTTCCCCCTTCATGTCGCGCTTTTCCTAACTTCGACCCCAGTCCTTACTTGGACGAGGAGATTTCGAGTCCTTCCGACGTGGAAGAGGAATCTGCCGCGCAGGGCTTCGGGCGAGTCTGGCGACGTCCAAGGTGGGCGAGGGCCCCAGCTCGGGCGTGTGATCTATCCCACTTTACCTTTGCATCTTTTGCCTCTGGTTTTGTAAAAATTTATGATTTTTGGGATGCCTTGGTGTTTTGATACAATATTCTCGTGCTTGCTGTTGTATTTTACTCGTCGTGTGCCTGTACTTTCCTTGTGCTTGGTTGTTGTACTCTCTCCTTTAAACTCCTAACCTGTTGCATAGTGGTTGGTATGGGCCAATCTCGTATGGCCTGCGTTTTTCTCTCATCAACTTTGATCCCTTCATTTGAGATAAAATATCCCAAAAATTTAGTTTCTTGAGAGAAGATTTGGCTTTTCTCCAGGTTGCCATACAATTGTTCTTCATCAAGCTTCTTAATCACCAAAGTGAGGTGATTGATATGTTCTTCTTCATTCTTGCTATAAATCAAGATGTCGTCAAAGTAGACAACGACAAAATGACCTATAAATGGTTTCAGGACCTGGTTCATCAATCTCATGAACGTGCTCGGGGCGTTAGTTAAACCAAAAGGCATAACCAACCATTCGTAAAGACCAAACTTAGTCTTGAAAGCAGTTTTCCATTCATCTCCTTCAAAAATCCTGATTTGATGATAACCACTTCTAAGATCGATTTTTGAGAAGACCTTAGAACCGTGTAGCTCGTCCAGCATATCTTCAAGTCTAGGTATGGGATACCTATACTTTATGGTAATTTTGTTGATGGCACGGCTATCAGAACACATCCTCCATGTACCATTCTTCTTTGGTACTAACAAGGCTGGGACAGCACAAGGACTTAGGCTCTCCCTAATGAATCCCTTTTCTAGCAATTCATCCACTTGACGCTGGATTTCTTTTGTCTCTTCAGGATTCATTCTATATGCCGGTTTGTTGGGCAAAGCAGCTCCGGGAATAAGATCTATCTTGTGTTGGATATCTCTTTTGGGAGGAAGACCGTGTGGTACGTCTTCAGGAAATACATGGGCATATTTTTCAAGGATTGGCTGG